TACCCTCTGGTGTCAGCAGGGCTCTCGAGATGGGGGTATCCTTCCTGGGTCCCCCAGGGTGTCATGGAGGTGGCCATGCAGTGCCAGGACCTGTTGTGACTACAAATGCAGTTCTTTTTCTCACCCTTGCAGCCCCCAGCTGCCAAAACCACCCCCTGCTGCCTGGGCCATGCAGATGCCTGATGACCACAGACTAATGACTTCCAGTCATTTTCAGAAAATTAAGGTGCTTACCAGGCCCTGAAAAGCTAGTAGTTGTGCCCGAGAAGAAGACTCACCTGTGTAATGCCATCAGGAGTGTAAAATCTAGGTCCACACTTACAGCTAACACCTAAGGACAGCCTTGGGCAGGGCTCCCCCAAACAGTGCCCCATTTACTGGAACAGAACTTCTGTGTGGGGCATGGGGAGTACACCAAGCTGTACATGCTCATCAAAGACTATGGTCCCCTCAGTGGTCATTGCAGTTCCATGGCCCGCACATGCTCTTGCTTCTTGGATTAAGCGTCACTTGAGGCTCATCATGAGAAACTTGCAGCACAGGCCAGGGGACAACAGGCAGGTGATTGTGGGTACATCTAAGGTCCTGGATCAAGGCTGGCCTCACAGGACAAGTATCAAGCTGATATGATCATCAAGGCTTGGGACTGCCCATGGTGGCCACTCATGGCCACTGGTCAGTGAGTGGACCTCAGTGTTTCAGGGTAGATGGATACAAAGGGGGACCTAAGATACCAATCAACCCTGTGTTGCCAAAGAACAAATATTATACCAGTTTGAAGATCACAGTTGGCCTTATTTGTAATTCTAGAATTAGAGAGCTTCATTCCATCAAATAGAAGGACAGATCTGATGGCTGAGCAGAGGAAGCTGGTTTTATAGCTGGAGAAAGACAAGAAAGAGCAGAGGGCTAGAAAGCAGAAAGGTCGTCTCAAAATGACTCTGCTTGCAAAGCAGGAAAAGTAAAACACAACAGCAGAAAACACCGGGTTAATGTTGGCATCCTCTGTTGTGAAAGGAAACCTGGCAGTGTGGGTAGCTTGCTGCTGCCCCTGTCCTGATTTCTCTGACAGTTCCACAGCTCACAGACCGTGTCCCAAAGGTAGTTACACTAGATCCAGGGCGTCAGCATAGGAACTGGGAGAAGGGATGTAATTCCATTCCTGGCAGGAATGAGAAATATGCACATGCTGGGCACAACCAAGGTTTGAAAGCTCTGGAAGAATACATTCCTAACTCCAAGGCCCACACTTACGGAAAGCCCCACCTCAGCACCCATGGAAAGCCAGACTTTGGCATTCTGCTTCCTGTCCACCAAGCACACGGAGTTTGGTTGCAATTCAGTTACCTTCTACTCTGGCACAAGCTCTCCAAACCTGAAATAGCCACCAGGTGTCCCCTCTGGATTCTGGGAAAATCGAGGTGCTCCTCCTGAGGATCCCCCAGCTCCACATGGCTCTTGGTCACAGGGGAGCTAGACAGGGCTGGAAACTCCCAGAAAGGTGTGAGGACCAAACTGTATCTCCATTAGGAAACCCTGAGTGCATGAGCGGTAAAATCTTCCCTGCCACACATTGTCCCTCGTCCTGCTAACTTTGATCAACTTCAGAGACATGCCAGCATCCAGAACCCAGAACCCATCTGAAGTACTCCTTTCTCAAATCTCCCTCTGACTTAGCATCTGAGGGGATTGGGACAGGGACCAGGATAGGGAGCCCTGCCCTGCCCAGATGTACAAAGTTTTACCTCCAAGCGCAAGGTGGAGGCTCCACTCTTGCTGTGATCTTCCAGGCCTGGATCCTTCCTGCCAGGTGTCTTGGTGCTAGGTGACTGGCAGCTGTGTTTCAGGTAGAAAGTGAGAAAGGAGGAAGACAGCTGCCCTGCAACATCGGCTTATGACTCCACGAGCCCAGGACCAGCTGGGCCACACAAACACAGCTTGAGCACCTCCAGGCTCTTATGCAGTACCCAGCAGCACCTATGTCCAGAGGCACCAAGCTCTGGCAAGAGGCAGGTGCGCTACATGTTGGCTGACCTCACTCCTGATTGGAGGATGGGGGAGATAGAAGCACGCGAACTTTCCGTCATTCTCCTCGGTATGAGGACACTGGAATGGGTTTTGAGGTGACTGTCACCTCCTCCCCAAGTCCTTTCTTGTGTTCTGTCCAGGTCCCCCATGCTCCAGGGCCTCTTGGGCTCCCATGCCCCCTCCACTGGGCCCAGAGCCCCACTCTCCCGTGGCTGAGTGCTGTCCCTTGGGTGGCTTGCTCCTCCTTCTCACATCCTAGCACCTGGCACGGAACCTAGCAGGTGCTCAGTGTTTGTGGAACAACTCAAAGAAGCACAGTTGGGAGGTGAGAGGACGGAGGGAAGACAGTGCTTTCCCCTCCCATACAAGAGGCTAATTGATATAGGGGAATGAAACTGCCAACCTACTATATGTCCGGTACGAGTTTGTGGTCTCTAAAGTCAAAGAATGAATTGTAGGAACAACAGAGTAGGAGTGGAGTATATTTATTGAGAGAAAGAAAGCTTCTGTCTGAGAGAGAAACAGAAGTGGTCCTGAGCTGGTTGCCAAAGACTTTTAAGGGACTTTTATAGAGTAAAATCATGAGGTTAGACGTGTCCAAAGTGGATAAAAATGGGAACTTACAAGGTGGGCATAAGGTGGGACAGAATTGCGGTCAACCAATAAGATTAATTCTCAGGTGAAATTGATTAAATTAGGAGCAAATGGGGAGCGAGTCACACAGTGAGCGGGCATGTTTAACAGCACTGACCCTTCCTGTAGTGAGTGAGATGCTGACTCCTGACTCTCTCAGGGTGATAGGGAAATACCTGGCCTATCAATCCTTGGGATGTGGTTGTATTTGCTTTGCCTTTTGTCTTGAGATCTGCCAAAGGCAGGAGGCGTTTGCCTCTTCCAAGGCTGCAAGGTGTCTGAACTTCTGCTCTGGCTCCTTTGAGGGCTCAGCCCTCTCTGTGTCTCTCTGTCTACCTAGAATATTTCTAACTAACTCAGCTGCCTGTAACATTATCAGATGCAATGCTGCTAGTGGCTAGGCCTCCTGGAACCCTGATCCTGGAGAGGCTGCCCCACCTCCATCGGTCATTGCCCGGAGGATGGGCTGGATCCCTGGTACTCCAAGATTGGCCCAAACCCCGGGCCGCAGCCTAGCTGCTCACTGCTCCCCTATGCTAGGCCAGCATAAAGGGCTCCACCTCTTGTCCCCGCAGGGCTCTGCTGGGCTCAAGGCAGAGGACAGGAGGAGGTCCTGGCTGTGACCTTGAGGACAGTGAAGCAGCAATCAGCACCCAGCCCCTCTAAAGTGCGGGTGTGAATACAGGGATCTAGAGGGACCCCACACTCTGTGTCTCCAACCTGCTAGCAGGTGAGGTGAGTGCAGGAGTGTCCCTGGTCATTGCACAGAGTAAAGGACTTGGTACTGGAGCAAGGAGCCCGCCTGCAGCCCAGGGGGACCCAGGGGGCACTGGGAGCAGCCTCGGACGCCCCCCTCCTGTGGCAGGTTCCCATTGGTTTTCATCCTTCCAGTCCCCAAGCCCGCACCGGAAACCCAATTCCCGCTCCAGCGGTTGCTCAGCCTGGCCTCCTTAGCACACGCGCAGCCTGGAGGCGGGGCTTCCTCTGATCCCTGATCCTCACCGCCCCGCCCCGGCCCCGCCCCAAGATTATATCATCCGCTGCTTCCCAGCCCACTCAAGAGTTTCTTTTCTGCTACCCTGGGAGGAGAATCGAAACTGAAACCGAAGTTGAATGGAGAGACTAGCGGGAAGGGGGAAGAGGGAAAGGAAGAGAGGCAGAATCAGCGGCCTGGGTAACACGCACCCCAGCCCGCCCCACCCCCGCCTGCCATCCCACGCGCATATTCCCACTCCCTCCCCCATGCTCCCACCCCCACCTGATTCGTACCCCATATCCCCACCCCTCACCACATCCTCACGTGCCTTCATGCTCACCCTGCATCCTACAGCTCACCGCCTAGCCCCACTCCCACACAGTACCCCCAAGTCCCCAAGCTCTATGCTCCATGCCCTCATCTAGAAACACAGTGCAGACCAAAAGCAACCTTCAGACTCCTCATTCCTTCTGGAGACCCAAATTCATAAGTGCTTGAAACAGTGGGGTACCCAGGAAAGGAACCCACATGGCAACCGGGTGCTGTCCCCTGAGCCAGTCCTCACGTAATGGCAGAGGGTAAGACCCACACAGGCCTGTGCTTCTTAGGGGCAGAGGAGGCTGACAGTGGGCTCTGCCTGCCAGGGGGCAGTGCGAGATCAGCCAGCAAACCCCAGGGCCGGGGAGGCCGGTGGAAGGAGCCAGCGCTCAGCTTGGGAGGGGCCTGAGGTCTGCACAGGGCTTGGCCTTGAAGTGGGTGTGGGTGTGGAAGGTTGGGCAGGGCATCTATACCATGCTGAGCAGCTTGGAGCAACTTAGGAAGTACAGACGGAGGGTAAGGGGCTAGAAAGTCTTGGAGACAAGCTGGGCATAGTGGACCAGCAGCAGGGAGGCTTAGGGAGGAGACCTCAGCCAGTCTGTGGCCAGCCAGGATTACTTCTGAAACCCTGTTTCCAAACAAAGAGTTGTCATCACCCTGTTTACCCCTTGGATGGCTTCTCTCTGCAGCAGGTACACACAGCCCACTTGACCGGCAAAGCTCCAATGAAACAGGAGACAGGAGACGCTTTTGTGGACGACAGTTAACTGCTCCTTTATTTACGCGGGCTCTGGTTTATATATTTGGCCGTGACCAATCACAGGCTGCCACAAGGAAGCAGGGCGGGAATGGGATACAGGCTCTGGTTACTATATCCAGCTGTGGCCAATCAGGAGTTGCCACAGAGTACGGAGTGAGCGCGGGGTGCGCACGGGTTGGCTAATTTAAAGAGGGACGTAGCGCATTGCGGAAGCTGGCGTGGTCCTTAGTCCGGGTGGGGTATGGTATGTTAAGCGCCTGCGCCCAACACCCACTTTTATTTTACAAGAGCTAGAACTCAGGAATCTCTACGGGGATGAGGAAAGAGAAGAATCCTAGGCCCATCACAACTGCGTGTTAAAAACATGAGTTTTCTCCTTCTAAGCCAGACTAGTCTTGATGCGAACCATGACTCTTCACTACAGATGCCCAATAGGTAACTAAACATAGAACAAAACTCATTTTCCATCTTTTGTTGCTGTAAAATCTCAGCTCTCCAAGGTTGATCACCCTTGAATGCTCTCACCCTTTCTGTTTTCCATTTGAAAATTGAAAATAGAAGATGGGGAATTCCCAGGCTTCAGCTATGCCTGAGACATCTCCGGTTGGTGCACTCAAACTGAGGTCACCTGGGAACAGACCCCCCCCCCCCACCATTAAGTCCAGAGCTGTGACATCAGCACTGAGACAATGACGGAGGGGACCTCAGCCCACCAGCTATCTGGGAAGCAGGCCTTCTGCCCTTGTGGGTGGGCCAGGCTGGATTCCTGAACCAGAGCACGACCCCTGCGGCTTTCTTAAAGTTCTTTTCAGCTTTTCCTCTAACTTTTCAACCACAGCTTTGTCCTGTGAAATGATGTTCTGTTTTCATTTCCATTATTACCAAGCTCAAGCACCCAAACTAGCTGGTGACAGAGGTGTTGGTGGGTGAGTGCAGGTGCACCCTTCAGGCTGACTTGGAACATACTAAGGGCTCATTCACGGCAGCTAGAAGGGTATCACTGCCCACTTCCACTTAAAAACCAGCTTGTGCCCTGATATAGGGGAGTGAAACTTCCAACCTACTATGTCTGGTATGAGGTCCTGTTCTCTAAAATCAAAGAATGAATTTTAGGGACAATGGCGGTTAAGAGCAGAACATATTTATTGAGAGAAAGAAAGCTGAGAGAGACAGAAGGGATTCCGAGCAGGTTGCCAAAGACTCTCTCTCTGTTTTAGGGACTTTTATATGTCCTGGGGCGTTCTGGATCCAGCCTTGGAAAGAGCTGTCTTTGCCCAGAGTGAGTTGTGGGGTTCACCCTCCATCTGCAGGGCAGTAGACCCGTCCTCTGCAGAAAGCCTCAGCCCTAAGCTCACAGCCCGGGGCAGGTGTCACTCCAGTTCCTCACGGGCAGGTGAAGGACCCAGAGGGCTTGAGGGGGCTCACAGGAACTCCGGGGGAGCTTAGCTTCCCCTCCAGACCAGGCTGGGGATGCCAGACCCCAGGAAGGGGCAGTAAACAGCCCAGGACCTGGCCCCTGTGGGCGTCGGCCCCTGCTTGCTCAGCCCAGGAGTCTGGGTCCAGGAGGCTCTCCAGGCTCCCTGAACCTCGCCCAGCTGGGTAGCCCTGGCTGGTGAGCCGCTCCCCAGTCACTGCAGAGTCGGGCGCTGTCCTGAGGGGACGGATGTCTGTGGCTTTCAAAGAGCCTTGAACCCCAGGTCCGGGGTACAGCCTTCAGTGGAATGGCGGCTTCACTAACACGGCCCCCCTCGGAGGGCGCGGGGGGGCCGCAGGTCAGTTTCGTTTCTGCGGGGCGCTCCTCCTGTTCTGGCGCGGGGGCGGGGCCTGCGCTGCTTAAAGCTGAGCCTGACTTCTGTGTTTGTTCCCAAAACGGGGTTGGTGACTGTCGCTGGTTGTCATCTCCAGGACGCGCAGGACAGGGACCGCGTGAGGTGAGGGGTCCTCGTGGGCTAACTCCCAGAATGGGATGCGGGCGTCTCTGAGTTCGAGTAACTGTGGCTCTGAGTGGGTGCGTACCCGCTGAGTCATGGCCCTCCACGCGCAATGATGCTCACAGTAGGCAGCAGGAGCAGCTGGCACCTGAGCCTTCCTGCCACAGGACCTCCTCTGGGGGTACTGAGGAGGCTTCTGATCCTTTGCGTTCTTTGAACCCCCCAAAAAACACCCCAGCTGTGTTGGAGGCTGCTCACTATCCTTCTGCCCGGGGACAGGGGACTCCTGGGAGACTCAGTGGGGAGGACCGCATGCACCTTCAGGCGCCATTCAAGTTCCCGGGGTAACCGGGGTATGAGGGGCCCAGGTGCTTCTGAAACTTGCCCCCCACGAGCTGCCTGGCCAGTGGAGGGGGAAGGATTTTAGAACAAATTTCCAGACTGCCAGAATCCATGGCTCCCCCTTGTAACTGTTGGTCCTTCGTAGTCACCCCTCTGATCCTCACACAGGAGTGCATCTAGTTGTCCTTTTCAAATGGAGCAGTGAGGGCCCATGATGGTCTGGACACACATGTCCGGGCTTGGGGTGCAAAGAGGGGCTGCTGGAGGGTTGTGTGTGGGAAGTGCTCACCTGCTGTCTTTCTTGAAGCACCAGGTGCAACAGAATTGGGAAGAAGATGGGTCCTTCCATTGGGCAAGCCACAGAAGACGTGAATAAGGCAGAGAAAGGCCAGGTTCTGGTACGTTGCTGTCTTAGAGTCAAACGCCATGTGGACAGGAGCTGTGTCCATCTGAGGGGTACAGTAGGGTCTGTGTAGTGGGTGGAGGGCATAAAGGAGAGTGGGGTGCTCCTTCCCTCAAATCGTGGCTTCCTTGTCCTTCCTGGGGCCAGATGCAGATCTGAGCTGCTTGTCACTCTGCTTAGGACAATGTGCAGTGGAATGGGTGCCCTTTGGGTTTGAGAAAGCAGAGGTGACGCTAATGAGCTCACCTGGGAACTGGCTGGATGCTGGTGCCCAGAGCATCGTGTGGGTCCTGCCCAGATCCTGGCTTATCATGCAGCCCAGGGCTGCATGAGGACACTTTCTTCCCAGGGAAATCACGTGGCACCTGGTTTCCTGGGCTTGAAACCTATTTTTGGGGAAACTAAACCGTGGCTGTAGGATGAGTCCCTTCTCACTTTGGTCCCAACACTGACCCTTTCAACTGTCTGACCTTGAGAAGTTCTTTCTTCACTTATTAGCCTGGTTTTCCATGTCTAAGATGGCACCAAACAGTACGTGATTGCCGAGAGTCATTAATGCCACTAATATCAAACCCTCTGAAAGTGCTCTGTTTATTATGATTAATGTTTTAAACTCTGGGCCACCAGCTTGTTTCATGTCAGCGTACTACCTAGGTACCATTCAACAGCTTTTCTAATTTACAGCATTGTTAAAGATCAGAGGCCAGGAGAACAGCTACTGTCTTGTCCTCTTCATAAAGTCTCTGTTTTTATTTCCCTCGTTTGCCCCACTAGTCCCACTTGCTGAGCTATGATCCTCAGGCTATGGGGTTAGATGAGCTCACAGCCTTGTGTTAGCTTTCTGTTACTGTAACACAAGTCCTGAGACAATGAACTTACAAGGAGGAAAGGTTTACTTACTTGTCTTACAGGTTTCAGCCCAGGTCCGGTTGACTTAGTTGCTTTGGGAACCTGACAGCACAGCATGGTGGGAGAGTGTCACAGAGCAATGCAGACACTTCATGTCTGGGAAATAAAAGCAAGAGAAGGGAAGGGCTGGGTCCCTTTATCCACTTCAACCTCTTCTCCCCAGCGATCCAAGCTCTCCCCAATGGCCCACCTTTTCAGGTTTCCTCTACCTCCCAATAGCGCCAAGCTGGGGACCAAACATTCACTCCCTGTCCCTTTGGAGGACATTTCAGCTCTAAACTGGAGCGTCCACTCACACCACATGCCCTGGACATGGCCTTTTCCTGTCCAGCTGTGTCTGTCATCTTGGGGCTCCACCACAGGTGGATGGGGACAGTTCTCAAGGTGGGGCCCCAGACCAGCAGCATCAGCACAGCCTGCAAAGTGTTAGAACAGCAAGTACTTAGTTCTTTAGCACCCTCATGCCTGTGATCCTCCTGCCTTGCAGGGCCCTGCATGGAAATGCCATGTGCTCTGAGAAGCAAGGTAGAAGAACCCTTACTTACACTCTGGCGAGTTGTGCGTCAGAGCACGGTTGTCCCTGACAGGACACTGGAAATGTTGGCAGGGCCTCCCAGTGAGGAAGGGATGTCCTAGCAGCTCTGGACCTTTTATAATGAACACATTCATAATGGGGCCATAATTTTTATATCTCACCACTGGGAGGCTCAAACCCCTGGCGGTATGTGGAAGACTGACCCACCCATCAGGTGGCTTATACTACTACTGGTGGTGCAAACAGATCTTATAATTCTTATTAGTGGTTTTACTAATAAAATTAATAAAAAGCCACCTGATGGGACAGTCAGGCTTATTCCCCACTTCTGAAAAAAAATCTTTTTGAAGTTTTATTGTCTTACTATCTTCATACTGACATTGTTTCTGACTAGAAATCTGCTTTCAAGCTTGTCTTTGTTCTTCTGTATGTTATATGATATTTTCTACTTCTGATGTTTTCTCTTTGTAACTGGTTTAGAGCAATTTCCCTGAGATGTGTCTTCATGTAGATTGTATCATGTGTTCTATGCTTGGGGTTCATTGAATTTCTTGGGTTCACAGTTTTCATCAGTTGAGGTCTTTGTGCAGATTACTTTTACTGCAATTTTAAAAAAATCTTTCAGTCCTTTTTGGAATTCTGGTAGCCTGTGTATTGCTGCTCTTGAAGCTGACTGTCTTTTGCGTGCCTCACGGGCAGCACAGAAGAGGTTCTGCGTTTTCACTCCTCCAGGTGGCTGAGAACAACCTCTGCAGGCAGTATGAGGAGAAGGTGCGGCCCTGCATCGACCTCATCGACTCTCTGCGGGCCCTGGGCGTGGAGCAGGACCTGGCCCTGCCCGCCATCGCTGTCATCGGGGACCAGAGCTCGGGCAAGAGCTCCCTGCTGGAGGCTCTGTCGGGAGTCGCCCTCCCCAGGGGCAGCGGTGAGAACGGAGTCCTCTTTAGTCAGGTTGAGCTGCCCAGACTGGGGAGGGGTCTTTAAGGACAGAAGAGGACCTCCCATGGCTCCAGCACAGCAAGCACATGAGCAAGGCTGTAGTCTTTCTTTACAGATTGCAGCCAGCCAGCCCCTCACCTGCTGTACCTGACCTTTCCCCTGGCAGGGTCCTGGTGTCTCTGCCACTTCTGAGAAGGGCACCAGGCATAGTGGTAGGGAGTCCACCCTTGTTATGCCTGCTTGAACAGCCTCCCTTGAGGCCCTGTCTCCCACACAGAAATGTTGGAGTGAGGGCTTCTGCAGATGATTTGGGGAGGACCATGCAGTCAGTAGCACCATTGCATTGCACGTGTCTATGGGCTCTGTGGAACCTGTCTTGTGGGCAGGTCTGAATAAAAGGATGGGGCCCCAGCAGTGCTGTGTACTTGTGGGTAACTGTCCTGAGCCCCTCCCTGGGGAGGTGGAGAATTGCACTCAGGTCAGTGGTACTTGGCAAGGTGCAAGGCCAAGGGGGCAAGTGAAGGCTCAAAGGAAGAGGTCAGAGCCCAGGTGAGAGGGCAGAGCTCAGGGTGCAAGGGGAAGTGAGAGACCAGTGGATCAGGAGCAAGTTGACAGTAGGGGGTTGTGGGACGGTGCTGGGGAGAGTGGTGAGTGCAGCATGTATCAGGACCCTGAGGACAAGTGCAGGTGCTGGCATTGCCACTGCCTTTGTCCCCTGAACTGGCCGCAGGACAGTGGGAGGACACAGGAAGTCTGACCAGAGTGGTGGCTTTCAACCGTGAAGAGAAAAGTTCTTGGTTGCCTGTTTCAAATGCAGAGGCCTGAGGTCCCCAACATGAGGTCTTGGCACATCTGAGGGCATCCAGGGTGGTTGTCTTTCTATCCCCCCATTCCTGGGACTATGGGAATGTGAGCAGTGTTGGCTGGAGGCCCCATATGAAGCTCTAAGACTGGAGGACTGACATAGATGTGGCCCCTAGGCATTGTCACCAGGTGCCCTTTGGTGCTGAAACTGAAGAAGCTGAGGCCAGAAGAGGAATGGAGAGGCAAGGTCAGCTACCTGGACATTGAGGAGGACATCTCGGACGCCTCCAAGGTAGAAGAGGAAATCCGCAAAGGTAAGTGTCCTGTGTGCCTCGTGGTCTGCAGGATGCCTGTTCCAGCTGCGCAATGCGGGCTGTGGATGGTCTCCACTATCCCAAGCTTGGCCCACCCCGTGCTCTCAAAGCCCTTACTATGGGCACCCGCAGTCTTGCTCCTCTCTTGCCTTTCTCCTCTCAAAGACCGAGCGTGGGCACAGAATCTGGCATCAGGAAGTGACTGTGGAGCATGTAAGGAAATATCTGAGAATGATGTGAGTCTTAAATTTAAAGCTTGTCTCCAAACCCAGTGCTCTGCTACCCACATCCAAGGGCCTGTTGACTCTGTAGATCATGGATCAGAGGCAAGAGGATGTGGGTGTGAGCAAAGGGACTGCTGCCTTGCTGCCTCATCCAAGGGCCTCCCTGAAGGCTGTGACACCTTAATCCCCACAAGGACCTGTGGGCCTTGTCCCCAAGAGAGTGTGTACATGTGTGTAGTTACAGTCACCTGACTGGGGAGAGTTCCCCGGAACCCTCTGAACCTGAGCACAGAGTCAGTGTAAAGCGTGGGAGGAGACAAGCCCTGCAGTGACCTTTGCGGGCAGGATACTGACAGAGCAGCCACTGCAGGGGAAGTAGGACCATGCTGTGAGGCTCTGTGTTTCTTCCTGTGACGTCTGGAACGGGGAACAGAGACCTCTGTTTCTGTATAGTGGGCTCTTTAGCCTGGTCCACAGTCTTAGTTAAATAATGTCACAAAGTTTTCTTTGGTCTGAGTTGGAGTTAGTTTGTTTGCCTGTGGCAGAAGACTCAAATTAACTGTGTGTTGGTCATGCCCAGCTGAATAACAAGCTGACCGAAAGCTTCATGGCTTAAAGATACATTTCTCATGATTCACTTAACCCTGTGCTAACGCCAATTCTTTGTGTGGGCTGTCCTAGGTCATAGTCTGGGAAGACTATAACGTATCTGGGTCGTGGCTGGTGTGACTTCCATACTCCAGGGAGCTCTGGGGTTTGTTGGTGAAGAGGGCAGGGGTAGCTTGGAGCAGCAAGACCAGAAAAGCCTGACAAATAGCAGCTTCAATCCACAGACTCACACTCAGGAACATACCTGTGGGTGCTGACTGCACCTCGATTGGAGGAACACGCTATTTGTAGATAGGACAAGGGCTATCGGCTGTGAGGCAGGGATGTTCAGGCATGATGGGAATCCTAGAGGGTGGGCAGCATGTCACAGATGCACAAACATCTGCAGGACTCACAGCACAGCTGGGTTGGAGGCTCCACTGTCAGAAACCATGTGTCCTATTTCTGTTTGTGCTGAGGGCGACCGCTGTCCTCTTGCCCTCACAGTGGAGTTAGCAAGGTCACATTCTGGCCGACTGGCAGTGACAAAGGGCAGGTCAGTGCCCCCGATCACCTTCTGGACGTTGCATGTAACATTTTCATATGTGCTAGGGGCCTGAGCCCAATATCACAATCAAAGAACTGGGCACAGGAATTTGGGCAATTAGCAGACTTGCCTATACCCGCCATTGCTGTTATTTTCCATCTCGATTCTAGATCTGTCCTGTGGGGAAGGAGGATACCACAGCTGGGGTTCCTCTGCCTGAGCTGACCTCTCCCGTGGGTAAACTTGCAGCTTAGTGAGGGATCCTTTGTGCCTTCACTCACCTCCTCCTGTGACTATCACCCCAGCGTGGAGGGAGCGACACAAGAGCTCCCGGGAGTCTGCGCTCCAGTGCACACTGCCCTGGGCTGAGGTTCCCATGGGCAGCATCCGCAGGCCTCTCCAGGGGGGCTGGCTACAGTTTAGAAAGTGTTGAGTTGTCCTTGGAGTCTTTGAAGTCTGATGTGTGAAATGGACTCTGCCCAAAAGGAGCTGCTGCCCAGGAGCCCCGAGAGTGAAGGTATTTTCCATCTTCCCTGGGGTGGGAAATGACACTAAGCCCCGTGGGCTTTTTCTTTTCCTTTTCTCCAGCCCAGAACTACATCGCTGGGGATGGGCTGGGAATCCAGGATGAGCTCATTAGCCTGGAGGTCAGCTGCCCCGAAGTCCCGGATCTCACTCTCATCGACCTTCCTGGGATCACCAGGGTACCTGTGGGCAATCAGCCTGCGGACATCGGTCGACAGGTGAGGTTCAGACTCTTCAGGCCTGGCCTTGGGGTGCAGGTGGTGCTGCCAGAGGGTGGCTGTGAGTCCAGGGCTGCACTGTGTGGTGGCATTGGAAAAACCCTGTGATCATCAGCTCCCAGGGTTGACACTGAAAGTGAGGCAAACAGGTACAATTGGAAACAGGTGTTCTGTTTCTTCTGATTTATGCAGTGACTCGTAGAAGTGGATCTGTAACCACTGGTTACAGCTCCATCATGCGGTGTATCCACACAGGTGTGTGGTGAGAAGACTTTTATGCTGGAAGAGAGGGCATACGATACGAAGGGAGACTGGAGGATGGGTGAATCTCAGTTCATGGACACAGGGATGAGAGCATGAGCCAGGCAGCACTTCTAGCATCGAGTTGTCCACTGTGTCTGCCAGACCTGAGGTTTCAGGGGCAAGTTAAGCAGCTCAAACCTCATGGTCATCCTGGACCTTTTAGCTCTTTGACTGCTACAGACAAGTTGGTCATCCTTCATGTTTGGCAGGTGGGGGCCACTTTTCCATCCTTACTTCTTAGGGGCAGACACTCCTAGAGTCTGAGAGCCCAGCATGTGTGAGGTCGGAATGGTCTGACCACTTCCTCTCATCTCAGGAGGCCAATAGTGTCATTTCTCATAGATCAAGCGACTCATCAGAAAGTACATCCAAAAGGAAGAGACCATCAACTTGGTGGTGGTCCCTAGTAATGTGGACATTGCCACCACGGAGGCTCTGAGCATGGCAAATGAGGTGGATCCTGAAGGAGACAGGACCATAGGTGAGGAGCAGGGATTGAATTCAGGGGCCAGCCTCTGCACCTACTGAGGATGGAAATTTATGTCTAGTGGGAGCAACAGGTAAGGTCCCACTAAGGCATGAGGAGTTGAACTCTGCTTGGCTGTTGAGGGTCAGAGTTGGCCTGGTTCCCCAATGTTTCAGAAGTTGCAGAAGGACTAGGTCATTGGTAGGGCAGATGGGTCATGCTATTCTTTGGGAATCGAGGGAGGAGGAAGCAAAGCAGGTGTCTATAGAGGACACAAGGATGAATGGTTTTGTTTTCTATGCCAGGAGGTGGTGAAGAAGGTCTGGAGTGCCAGTAGTGCAGGCAGCACTCCTGTCCTCCTGTGCCTGCCTCACGAGGCTTTCTAGCCGGGGCTGTGTCTACCCTCTACCCTGAGATGCTGGGGCCTGGGGGCTTCCCCTCCACCTTGTGTGTCGCCTGATCAGAACTATCTGCTGCAGGAATCTTGACGAAGCCTGATCTAGTGGATAAAGGGACTGAGGACAAAGTTGTGGATGTGGTTCAAAACCTGGTGTGCCACCTGAAGAAGGGCTACATGATTGTCAAGTGCCGCGGCCAGCAGGACATCCAGGAGAACCTGTGCCTGACTGAGGCCTTGCAGAGGGAGAAGGCCTTCTTTGAGGACCACCCACAGTTCAGGTACAGTGTGCCACCTGTCCCTCGCAATGCTACTGTAGACATTGTGCACACAGGGAGATTGCCCCTTGAGGGCAGATATCCAGGGTGTGTGTGAGTGGAGGTGATAGTGAGTGAGTGACTGTGTGTGGCAGTGTTTGCTCTCTGGCTTGCAAAAATAAAAGGAGAGTTCACAAAGTAGTACCTTCCGCTCCCCTCTCCCCGCCAAAATCAGTGAAAATGAATAATTTCAGTGGTCATATCCAAGGTGAAATACTTTGAAAAGACTGCAGATTGGTTTGGTCTTCAAGGAAGTGCATGCAAAGGTGGAATCCTTAGGGCATCAGTCCTTCCAGAGGGCTGCAGGAAGGCGGTTTCAGGACATCAGGTGTGTTCCACAAGCCTTGACACATGGCAGCACTCTATACACATCCTGAGAGTGCAAGAACCTGAGGTCCATGGACAGAGAAAGGCACTGGGTTACACAGCAGCTGGAATATTTTCCAGTCTCAGGAAGGAGGAGGTTCCCCTGAGAGCTGCAGCTTGGTGGGGCCTTGAGGATGTAATGCAGAGCAAGGTAGCTGGTTACAGTGAGATTGATGCTACATGATCCCACTGAGTGACACTGTTGGGTACTAGCCTCACAGAGGTAGGATGCAGGATGTGTGTAATGGGGAGACTTTCATCTCTGCAGATGGGAAGACTCTGGAGAAGGACGGTAGTGATTAAAGGAAATTGATGTCACTAACCTGCCACTAAAATAGTTGAAATGTTGCATTTTCCCTCATATATATTTTACCACAGATTTTTTTTTTAAATTATGAGTGTGGAGACAGAAGTTTGGCGTGAGTGTACTGGCACAGCCAAGCCATGGCTCATCCTTCTGCTGCCTGTCACCCTGAGTAATCCTGTCAACCCCAGAGCAGCCTAAAACAGCCCACCCTGGATGAACAGATCCAGGAAGTGTGAGAGGCTGCACGGCCTCCTCCCTGCATGTGTCATGATTTACATTCCAGGCCAGAGTGAATCTCCCTGCACCGTGCTCCTCACACACATGTGCATTTGTATGAATACCTACTCCTGTATTCCGAGGGTACTTGGCTAACAAGCTGGTGTATGTGCATATGTGTGTGTGTTTGCCATGGAAACATGTTTTCCTGTGGTTATGTATGTGTGCATTTTGGACCTGAGAGTCCTGTCTTGGGACACTTTCTTGTTGTGCTGGAAGGGGTCATGCAGCTTATATCAGAGCTCGCTCCCTGCAGCCGTGACTCAATGTATGATGGGCATCAGTCATGTGTCAACAACCCTGTTGGAAACAACTGAATTGTGCTTGACTCCCCCATGCACAGATGTGTGTGTGTTTTGTTCACATCCCAATGGAAATTTCTCTGTCCCCATTCAGGGTGCTGCTGGAGGCCAGAAAGGCCACTGTCCCCTGCCTGGCAGAGAGACTGTCTGAAGAGCTCATTGCACACATCTGTGTAAGTGCAGGCAGAACCCTGTGACACCATACCGAGCTCCATGCTGTGCATCGGGAGACCTGAGCCATGGGAGGGAGAAGCCCTGGGCTGGGGCTGATTCCACCTCCACCACAAGTTCCGGGGTTATGGGTTTACTTGGTCAGAATCTGAGTTTGCACAGCAGACCCTCGTGAAGGCAGCTTGTGGGCATTGAGGCTCAGCAGAGGTCTTCTCTCCCCTCTGCCCAGAGCCAAGGTTGAAGTCCTCCTCCCTGACCCCATCGTTTGGGTAGAGAGCAGGGTGATGTCTTGCAGACCTTGATGGTGAAAGCAGAGCTCTCCATGGCAAGTGCAAGAAGCACTTGCTCCCCTGTCCGACTCCCAGCCTTGCCCAAGCTTGAGGGATTCATTTTTCCCCTGCCCTGGGCCTAGCTCCTGAATCTGAGTGCAGGTTTTTTTTCCCTTGCAGCCCCATTTGGTATCCTTGCTGCTGGCTTCTCAAAACCCTGGGTGACCCCTGAGTCCTAGTTTCAGCCTCTTAGTGTCTTTATTTGTCATCTGGCACATGGGAAGGGACAGCACTAACATCCCTGCCAGCGTGGTCTGTGCTGCCGTCCATGCTGGCCACGTGGCTAGAAACAACAGTCTCTGATAGCTTTTCTCCTGCTGTAAACAGCATAAAAGCTACAGAATTTCAAGTTGTTCCAACTGCCACTCTTCCTGAAAAAGAACATCAGGCTGCTTTCCCTGCAGAGAGCTCATAGCAGGTGAAGAAGGAGTCCCTCCTTGGTGGCTCCATGATACATGGCTCATGGCTGTGAACAGGAACATGGCACATTGTGCTTCTCTGCCCCAGGGAAATTATGAAAGGCCACCGAGTTGTCACATGGACCAGGCAGCCCCTCAGCAGAGCAGGCCCAGGGCCTCCTTTCCATTCCTAGTCTGTATTTATATGTCCCTTTTTCTGTCCTTTCCCCAGAAATCTCTGCCACTATTGGAAAATAAAATCAAGGACCTTCACCAGAAAACAACAGATGAGTTACAGAAGTTTGGCATGGACATCCCAGAAGATGACAGCGAGAAAATGTTCTTCCTGATAGAGGTAAGAAGAGCCGGTGGGCTGGTGTTGGAGACTCCCACATTGCTGTGCTCCAGCGCATCCTGTGACTGATACCTGCTGTCTGTGCTGACCCAAGACTCCCCCAAGCACACTTTGCCCACTTAGCATGAGAAGGGTACTAGCAGAGTCAGAGGTCAGGGAGTCCTGCTTGTGGCAGGGACTCTGGGAAGGGCCTCACTCAAGATCCCCAGGGCATTTTGTCCCTTTGCCTCATCTTTCCCCTTGTCCCAGAGTGGCCATGTGAAGAATGACTCACCCAGCCTCAAGGCACACGAGATTTCCAAGCCACCCAGACCCCAGCATTTGAAGTATCTCTGCTGATACGATGTTCCTGCTCTTTACAGAAAATCAATGCCTTTAATCTGGACATCAATGCTGTAGTTGACGGGGAGGAAAGTGTAGGCACTGAAGGCTCCAGGCTGTTTGCCAAACTCCGAAGGCAATTCCAGTTGTGGAGTTCCATGATTGAGAAGCATTTTTCAAAGGGTGAGTGTTTTAATTTGTGCTGCTGTAGCAAAATCTTAGCAAGGGTAGTTTATAAAGGGCAGAAAGTCATCGCTCTCACTTCTGGATTCTGGGAAATTCAAGGTCAAGGTACCAGTCCGTTGGATGTCTGATGAGAGCTAGGTCTCTACAGCTGTTTCTAAGGTGGTGATTTCTGGCTGTAGCGGAGGACAGGCCAGCTCCTTCTCACTTCTTTTCTACACCCATGCGGTCTATGAAGGTGCAGCCCTTGAAACCTGACATCTTGAAGACCCACCTTTGAATGGCAGCACCCTGTGGGTGAAGTTTTAACATTTGAATTTGGGGGACACATGCAGACCACATCAGCAAGTCAGGGTGCAGTCCAACATCTGTGTGGGCTATGAGGACACAGAGAAGCGTGATGTGAGTCCCAGGAGTGTGTCTGAGATTCCTTGCCTGGGAAATATGCAGAATGGGGGAAACCATCAAGGCAGGAAGCAGAGGCGTAGGGAACTAAACATACTCCCTAGGTTCTTTGTCAGTAAATGAGGCCAACAGGAACCTGTAACTGATTTCAAAGGATATGTAATATACTGGTCAGCTTTCCCATTGGTTGGGAAGAAAATAACCTGACACACAAGTGGAAGGAGGAGAGGTCTACTTGGCTCTCAGTTTCAGAGCTCAGCTGGCTCCAAGGCAGAAGCATCATGGCGGAAGGGCATTGCAGAGCTTCCCATAATGGCTGGGAAGCTGAACACCAGGGAAGAGAGAGCTATGGCTTCCACAGGCGTACCCAGCCATCCACTCTCCATCTAGGCCACTGAGGGATGCGGTGCCCCCAGGATCTAAGCACATCTTCGGGAGCCTCTTAATCCTTTCTATTAACAAGAAGCCTGAAGGAAATCATCCATCAAACCATCATGGATTATCTGCCAAGCAATTTTGCTGTTCTTCAAGGAATTTGATAGGAATCCACAGTCCTCCTTAATCAACAGAGGTTCAGAGTAATAGAGTAGTAGTTTTCTTTGCTTTGAGTAAAGAACATGGACCACGCTGTCTTTTGGGTTGGGTACACTGTCAGATCCACTTGTCATTGGCAGAAGGCATGGAGGGTGGATGGAATAAACGGCCTGCAACTCTACTCCTAGGAAGCCCCCAGGGACCCAGAGACATATGGACACACAGCTCACACAGGGGTAGTCAAGGCAGCATCATTCATGGTACTTGAAGGTGTGTTCAACACCAGGGTCCCTTGGCTGATAACTGCCAAATGTGTGTGTGTTTGCTTGGGCTATTCCAATGCACCTCTGGCACTGGGTGATGAGACAAGGAGGAGCTGGTCCTGCAGTTCTGGGTGCCGGTGATCCAAGGTCAGGGAGGCTGCACGGTTGGAGCTGTCTGAGGCCTCGTTCCTTGCCATGTCGCAGCACCTTCTCCCCGCGTCCTTGGTCTTCCCTGGGCGTGTCTACGTCCTGGTCTCCATTCTGTGTACGGGGACCTCTCAGGCCACATCAGAGCCCATGCTAAAGACCTCATTTCCCCTTACTTTCCATGGAGTTCCTGCAGGTGGCGCACAGTTATTCTGTGGAATGCTAGCATGGGAATGACTAGAGGCTATAACACCGCTCAGGGTGACATTTTCAGCAACAGAAAACCCGAAGCACTGATACACGCTGAACATGGCTAAACCTTGAAAACTTGATGTGGGATGAAAGAAACCAGTCACAAAAGACCACACAGCCTGAGATTCCTTGCCTGGGAAATGTGCAGAATGGGGAAGCCACTGAAGTGGGAAGCGGAGGAGGGGCTGAAGGACTAGAGCAAGGAGATGGGGAGGGACTGTGCAGTTGTGGGGCATCTTCCAGGTGATGGGGACGTTCTGGAATCGCTGGAGGCATTGCACAACTCTGTGAAGATACCAAAAATCATGAGATCTTCCACCTGAGTAGGATAAATTTTATTGTATGTGAATTATCTCAGTAATGTAATTCCTCTGAGAAAATCTCTCCTGTCCATAAACGGGAACCTGGCTACCCATTCCGGAGGGCGGAGGCAGGCCCTTCTGTGTCTCCACCCTGATGGGGTCTCCCACAGCCCAAATCACACTCCAAGGTTCCAGCTCACTGTGTGGTCCCCCGGAGAGGGACATTTCCTGCTCCTGCTACAGCTTAGGAGCAGGCAGCCAGCAGGTGGCTCCAACTGTTTCTTAAGGTCATCCTGTGTCCTAGAGGCCACTGTTGTGGGTAAGGAGCATTCACTATCCTGGTCCTTTGTCTTTGGTAAAATCTAATGGGGTTTATGAAATTCCATAGTCCCGTGCTTCTCCAAAATTCATCTTCCTTGATTTCTGCTCTCTGCCTCTGCCCTTGCCAGCGCGGACTCAGTGGAAGCAAATTATCTTGAGATTGATTTCTTTAGGCCAGTCCCAGTGTAGTTTTCCATTTGAAAACCAAGAATTATTTTTGATTTCGCTGCTCATGTTTTAGAAAAATCTGCAAGATGTTTTTTTTTTAGTAGCACAGTTTTCTTTTCTTTTTTTTAAATTTTATTTAAAAGGAAAAAGAGAAAAACACAAAACAAAACAAAGCAGTGTAAGGATACACGTAGTACAGAACTACAAAAAAAAAAAAAGTAAGAAATCACCTGTTAATAGATTACATATTATCATCTTAGAAATAGTTGCTCAAATCACAGTATCAAAGAATACAAAGTGGACATTCAAACAGTGAGACTGCCAACAGCTGTGTTCAATGATCCAAAAACATTAATATAGTCAGCTATTTAACACCCCTAAACACACTTGCTGTTATATCCGTTAGAGCTCTTTTATTTCCCCTCTCTTTTTTACAACAAAATTTATACATTTTGGACTTTATTACTCCTTAGTTCTTATTACTTTTTTGGGGGGGGAGAGAATACAGTCAAATATGGCAAAACAAAGCTGTCAGTCAAAACCAAGGATAGACATAGCACATGGTGTAGAACAGAGTACAAGGTTATCAACAATGGTTATCAACGATGTCTCTTGTTTCCTTAAAAAGAATTGTCTATCTCATTAGATATTATAAAGTTGAACAAAACAGTAGAGAACAAGACCAATAAAACTTAGGCATTGTAAACATTACAGGACTTCCAAAGGAGACAATAGTCAAACCAGAATGGGCATCTTAGTGAATCTTATTGCCTTCATAGTAGTTGCCTATACCCTCAAACTTGATACTGTCATACAGAATGGAACAGAATCTAATCAGTCAAAACAAAATCGTGGGAGTATTACAGGACTTCTAAACAAGTTAATAGGAAATCAAAAAAAGTTACTATTATATATCCTGCTAATTTTTTTTAATTTTTCCCCTTAATTAAAACAAACATAAGAAATAACTAAATAAGGGAGAGATTGAGATAAAACAGGACATAACAATATAACAATAGAGGTCAAAGCATGACTGTTTCAGCAACCTAGTGCTTCACCAAATAACCCGACTTAATAGTAGTTACCATACTGTCTGTCTTTTCCCTTGAAATATTTGGATAAAACTTCATATACTATAGCTTCAAATATTTACATATCAAGAAGCCCAGAATAAAGCCTTTCTAATTAATAAGTGAAAACTTTATAAGGCTTCAAGGCCACATAATGGGGAATCATGATTACCACATATTTTTATATATTTGAATCATTACTTATATTAGGGAAACTATTCGGTATTCACACATGCGAGATTGATTTATTTCACTTAGGAGTGTGGTCTCAAGCTGCACCCATTTATTGATAAATATATCAATGTGATCCTTCTTTATAGCTGAATAATACTTCATTGTATAGAAATACCACAACTTTTTTATCCATTCCTCAGTTGATGGACACTTGGGTTGTTTCCAAGATCTGGCGATTACAAATTGTGCTGCTATGAACATAGGTGCACATATATCACTGTGGTATGATACTTTCAGTTCTTCTTGGAATATGCCTAGAAGTGGAATAGCTGGAATAAATGGGATTTCCAATCCCAACTTTTTGAGAAATCTCCAGACAGACCTTCACAAAGGCTGTACCAGTCTACACTCCCACCAACAGTACAGGAGAGTTCCTTTCTCCTCACAGCCTCTCCAGCATTTGTTGTTGTTGGTTTTCTTGATCCTGGCCATTCTTTCAGGAGTGAGATGGTATCTCAGTGTGGTTTTAATTTGCATTTCTCTAATGACCAATGATGATGAACATTTTTTCATGTATTTATTTGCCATTTGCATTTCTTCATCTGAGAAGTGCGTATTCATCTCAGATGCCCATTTTTGGATTGGATCTTTGAATTTTGGAGGTCTGAGTTTCTTTAATTCTTTATATGTTTTAGACAAGAGGCCCTTGTCTGAGAGAGAGTTCACTAAAATCTTTTCCTAGTTTGTGGGTTTTCTTTTCACTATGCTGGAGATTTCTTTTGACATGCAGAAACTTTTTAATAAGAAGTGGTCCCAGTTATTGATTCTGGGAAGTATTTCCCGTGCGGTTTGAGTCCTGTTCATGAATTCTCTACCTACTCCTATGTCTCCAAGGTTTCTACCCAATTTGTCTTTCAATAGATTTAGTGTTTCTGTTTTAATATTCAGATCTTTGACCCATTTAGATTTTAATTTAGTACATGGTGATAGACATGAGTCTAGCTTTAGTTTTCAGCAAATGGAGAGCCAGTTTTTCCAGCACCATTTATTAAAGAGACTGTCGTTCTTCCAATGAACCTGCTTGGCTCCTTTATCAAAGATAAGGTGGTTGAGTGTGTGTGTAGTTGTGGTTGTATCTTCTATTCCATTGATCTTTGGCTCTGTTTTGATTCCAATACCATGTTGATTTTACTACTGTTGCTTTGTAGTATAACTTCAAGTCAGGGATTGTGATGCCTCCTGCTTTGTCTTTGCTGCTTAGAATTGCCTTTGCGATTATAGGTCTCTTCTGGTTCCAGATGAAATTTAGGAGTGATTTCTTTAGATCTATAAGGTATGTTGATGGTATTTCTATTGGGATTGCATTGAATCTGTATAACAGTTTTGGGAGAATGGCCATCTTCACAATGTTTGTTCTTCCTATCCATGAGCAAGGGATGTCTTTCCATTTTCTGAGATCATCCTCAATTTCCTTTTTCAGTGTATTATAATTTTCACTGTCTTTCACTGTCTTTCACTTCTTTCGTAAGAGTAATTCCTAAATATTTCATTTTTTTGCTTGCTAATGTGAATACTCCAGTTTCTCTTATTTCCCTCTCTGTGATTTTGTTGTTCGTGTATAGGAATGCTATTGATTTCTGAGTATTGATTTTGTATCCAGCCACATTACTGAATTTATTTATTGTATCTAAGAGTCTTTCAATGGAGTTTAGGGGGTCTTCTATGTAGAGTATCATGTCATCTGCAAACAATGATAATTTAAATTCTTCTTTTCCTATCTTTACCCCTTTTATTTCTCTTTCTTGCCTAATTGCTCTGGCTAGTACTTCCAATACTATATTAAATAGCAGTGGTGATAAAGGACATCCTTGTCTTGTGCCTGATTTTAAAGTAAAGGCTTTCAATTTTTGGCCATTTAGTATGATGCTGGCTGTTCGTTTGTCATAAATGGCCTTTATTATATTGAGGTAAAGACCATCTATTCCAATTTTCTGTAAAGTTCTTATCATGAATAAATGTTGGACCTTATTGAAGGCTTTTTCTGCATCTATAGAAGTGATCATGTGATTCTTATTTTTGGCTTTATTGATATGGTGGATTACATTTATTGATTTGCGTATGTTGAACCATCCTTGCATTCCTGGGATGAATCCCACTTGGTCATGGTGTATAATCTTCTTGATGATTTGCTGCATCCTATTTGCCAATATTTTATTGAGGATTTTTGCATCTGTGTTCGTTAGGGAGATCGGTCTATAGTTCTCATTTTAGTTGGGTCTTTCTCAGGTTTTGGTACTAAAGTAATATTTGATTCCAGGAATGACTTAGGAAGGATTGCTTCCCCTTTGATTTCATTGAATAGTTTGAGGAGTGTCGGCATTAGGTCTTCTTTGTATTTCTTGTAGAATTCTGCAGTGAATCCATCTGGGCCTGGGCTCTTCTTGGTGGGTAAGGACTTAATTACATTTTCAATTTCATTAACACAGATTGGGTTATTCAACAGTTTTACATCCTCTTGATCTAGCTTTGGTACTTCATATGTTTCTAAGAATCTGTCTATTTCTTCTGTGTTATCAAACTTTTGAGAGTAGAGGTTTTCAAAATAGGTGTTGATGATCTTCTGTATTTCTATTGGGTCTGTAGTGATTTCACCTTTTTCATTTCTTATTGCATGAATTTGAGCTTTTTATTCCCTTTTTTAAATAAGGTTGGCTAGGGGCTTATCGATTTTATTTTTCTTTCAAAGAACAAACTCTTTGATTCGTTGATTCTTTGGATTGTTTTCTTAGTCTCTATTGCATTGATTTCTGCTCTGATTTTTATAATTTCCTCTCTTCTTTTGGCTTTGGACTTGATTTGCTCTTCTTTTTCTAGCTGTTTGAGGTGTAGCATCAAGTTATTTATTTGTATTCGTTCTGTTTTCCTGATGTGGGAACTCAGTGCAATAAATTTTCCTCTCAGGACGGCTTTCATTGCATCCCACAGATTCCAGTAAGTTGTACCTGCATTTTCATTTTCTTTTAGGTATTATTTAATTTCTTCTTTAATTTCTTCTGTGACCCACTGATTACTCAAGAGTGTGTTATTCAGTTTCCATATGTTTGCGGGATTTTTGCAGTATCTTTTATCATTAATTTCTAATTTCAGAGCGCTATGATCTGATAACATGCAAGGGATGATTTCAACTCTTTTGCATTTGTTTAAATATGTTCTGTGAGCTAATATATGGTCTATTTTAGAGAATGATCCATGTACTGCTGAGAAGAATGTGTATTCTGATGTTGTTGGGTGGAACATTCTGTATATGTCTATCAAACCCATTTGTTCACAGGTGTGATTCAGTTCTATTATTTCTTTGCTCATTTTCTGTCTGGTTGATCTGTCCCTTGGTGTCAATGGCGTATTAAGGTCTCCTGTTACAATTTTGTTACTGATATTTTGAGTTTTCATTTCTGTTAATAATTATTTTATATAACTGGGTGCTCTGGAGTTTGGTGCGTATATATTTAAGATAGTTATCTCTTCCTCTTGGAGTTTTCCCCTTACGAGTATGTAGTGACCTTCTTTGTCCTTTATGGTCATTGTTGGTTTAAAGTTCACGTTGTCTGCAAACAGAATGGCTACTCCTGCCTTTTTTTTGGATTCCTGCTGCATGAAGTATTGTTTTCCATCCTTTGACTTTCAGTCTGTGAGTATCCTTCTGGGTTAGATGGGTTTCCTGTAAACAGCATATGGTTGGACTTTGTTTCTTGATCCATTCTGCTAGTCTGTTTCTTTTGATTGGTGCATTGAGACCATTTACATTAATGGTTATTACTGTTAAATGCTGGTTTATTCTTGGAATGTTATCTCTCTGCTGTTGCATCTTTATCTTTCTGTTCTGTTTAATTATTTGCTTTGCTTAGTGGTTTTTTTCCTTTGTGTATCTAAACTGTCTTTCAATATTTTTTGCAGGGTTGGTTTGGTGTTCATGAAGTTCTTCAACTGTTCTTTGTCATGGAAGTATCGTATTTCACCATCAATTTTGAATGATAATTTTGCAGGATACATCAGTCTAGGTTGGAAATCATTTTGCTTTAGGATCTGGAATACTTCACTCCATGCTCTTCTTGACTTTATTGTTTGTGCTGAGAAGTCCGCTTGTGATCCTGATAGGTTTTCCTTTATAAGTGATCTGTCTCTTCTCTCTGACAGCTTTTAATAATCTATTCTTGTGTTGGATTTCTGGGATGGTGATTATTATATGTCTGGGTGTAGTTTTATTTTGGTTATGACTATTTGGAGTTCTATATGCTTCACTGATCCTGATGTCAGTTTCTGATCTCATGCTTGGGAAATTTTCAGCTATTACTTCTCTAAATATCCTCTTGACATCCTTTATGTTGTCTCCTTCTTTTTCGTTAATCCCTATCATTCTTATGTTATTCTTCTTTGCATTATCTTGCAGTTGTTGAATTGTTGTTTCCTGATTCCTTGTTATTTTTGAAAGATCTTTCCTTTCCTGTTCTCTAGCTGCAATCCTGTCTTCAAGGTCTGAAATTCTATCTTCACTTTCATTAAGGCAGTTTTTACAACTTTCAGTGGAGTTTTTTATTTTCTGTATATCTCTGTGCATCTGCATTATGTATTCTGTTTGTTTCTTATATTGCTCGTCTAGGGATTCTATCTTTTTGTTTAGTTCCTCCAATTTTTTATCTGTGTTTTCTTTAGATATATTCAGAATCTCTTTCATTTCTTTTATCATTTCTTCTTTTATCTGGGAGATTATTTCGAGTTTGAATTTCTTTAAAGCTTCCTGGAGTTGCTTGTTAATTTCAGTAGCTATTGTGTCCGATATTTGAGGTGGATGGCATATATTTTCTTCTATATACATTGCTCCTAGGGTTTCTTGAGATGGGCTGGAGGTTTGAGGTTGTAATTTGGTCTTTTGTTTTGTCATTTTCCTATATTTCTGTGTTTCAAGTGTTATTTGAAAGCTTCCTCAGGATCTGTTGAAAATCCCCTTCTATGTTTGGAGCTACTGAGACTCTGGCACCACACTACCCCAAGCCACTGGGTCTGCAGAACCAATGGCCCTCCTCTGCCTGCTCAGAACTCCGCAGTTCAGACAAGCTGGGCTCAGGGACACTGTATGCCCACCTGCCCCTTGGAAGCTCCACAGCTCTCCAATCGCAGCTGGGTTAGGGTACTCACCACAGGCCGTGTTGCCTCAGGAACCTGCAATCCCTCCCTGCTTGCTGAGATATCCACAGTCCTCCAGACACACGGGGAGGCCAATGCAGGCGCCCCAGATCCGCCCAGCCCCTCCTCTGCACACCGATGGCTAGGTGCGGCAGTCCGAAACAAGCTGGGCTCCGGGGATAGTGTGGGTCCGCCCACCCGTCGGAAGCTCAGCAGTTCTCCAAGTGCAGCCGGGATGGGGAGGTGGATGTAGAGGCCTCAAAGCCACTTCTCCAGTTCACTGCACCCGGTAGCCTGGAGGGTCCGGAACAGTCTGAGATTTGGGCAGAGTGTGCTGAGCACTCATCACAGGCCGCGGTGCCTCAGGAACCTGTGATCTCTCCCTGCTTGCTGAGATATCCACAGTCCTCTAGACACACGGAGAGGCCGATGCAGGCACCCCAGATCCGCCAAGCCCCTCAAGATGTTTTAGTAAAATAATGCAAATGTGCCTTTTCCTGCTATAGGTTTTGATGGTTTACAAAAAGAGATCTGGAAATTTGAAAACCAGCATCGTGGCAGAGAGCTGCCTGGGTTTGTGAACTACAGGACATTTGAGAAAATCATCAAAAAGGAACTCCAGGCCCTGGAGGAGCCGGCTGTGGACATGCTGCACCAGACCACCGGTGAGTGGCTCCCATGGTGGCAGGGAAAGCGGAGAGTGAAGCAGAATGGAACTTCAGAGCTGTGCCCTAGGTGTTTGCTGTATGAAACCTGTTTTCTGCTGCCCCGGATGCCAGCCCGGGGTCCCAGAGTTTGTTTTCTTGATAGTAGCAGGAGCTGGTATATTACCCAGTGAGGGCTCAGTCCCCAAGACTGTCCTCAGGTTCATAGCTCCATCCCAAGTCCTGAATGACCATCTATCAGTCAGGGTCTTATCAATGTGTTCTTGTATTTGATTAATTCCCTGACCATCACTGTGCTGATGAGACATCTAGGGCCTGAGTCACTGTGGGGTGGGATTGTGCCACCCTCCCGGAGTACTCGGGCTCCATCTGGTCTTGGAAACTTGGAAGTTTCCTTTGCTGAAGTGAGGAAGTTGGGAACGAGAGTCTCTGGATTTTCATCCTGACCTGGTCCATCTGGCGACCAGCCTCATTCCAGCCATCCAAGCCCACCATGGTCAGTCTCTTCCTTAGAATGCAGGGTGCTTCCATCACAGAGGACATGCAGAGACATCCTGTGCTGTGTCAGGACACTACCAGAGCAGAACTGGGGGCTCGTGCTGCAGGTCACTCTGCCTCACGCCTGTGTTGTATCCACTGCCAAAGGCTCTGCTGATGGGGTGGCTCTGAAGAGTTAGGTCAGAGCCAAAATGCCTGTGCCAGGCGTGAGTCCTCTGGGCTCTCCTAGGTATGGGGTGTCGCTGTGGCCAGGGCATGATCAGAGCCCCCAAGGGAGACCTGAGTCTCATCTTCCACTCACCCCTTCTTAAAATATGTCACCTGTTGGATTGAATCCAATGGATGTCTCCTCTCAGGTGCTCCTTCCTGGCCTCCTCCCCAGACTCTGCCTCCCATTTCAGCAAAGCCCAGTCCTTCAAGGTTCCTCAAGGGACAGGGTCACGGTGGCTTCAGACACCCCATGCCCAGTGAATCCAATGCACCTTTCCTCCAGGCCTCAGGACAACGCACCTGGCTCATTTCCATGCCATCATCACCTGCTTTTTTATGGCCAGAGGAAAGTTTGCCATCCTTATTACCTCCTAGTCATACAACAGAGTTGAAAATCAGTTTCAGAAAGTTGTGATCTGGACATCAATAAAGATGTGCCAGCATGTTGATTCTCAGCAGTGTGATAGTAACACCCTGTAAGAAATCAGAATAGAGACATGGCTTCCAAAAGTAAGAACATAGGTGTGTTTCGTTTAAATAAGAACATGTTCTTGCAATTCTTTTTGAAGTGAAGAGTGCGGACACACAGATTTGGTTGATAAATTTAAGAATGGCATGATGGCTTTATTTTTTAAGTATTTATAGGTTTGTAATTTATAAGAAATGACTTTCTTGGAAACACAGTTTCTATCTGAATAAAACATTTAACGGGAAACAGAGACCGGCCAGGGGATATTTAGCTGTGAATCCTCCAGTGGGTTCTGACTTCACACAGCGCGGCTTTGTCTTCACTGTAACAGAGTAGGATGGAGAAGGGACTGATGAAGAGGCTGAGAAAGTAGAAAAAGAAGAAAGAGGAGGAGGAGGAAGAGGAGGAGGAAGAGAAGGGACAGAAGCCTGTTTCAGAGTTGCATGTGTGGCAGCCTAGGTGGGTATACAGGAGCCCGCCAGGCTGACTCGCCTTTCTCTCTTTGATCAGATATGGTCCGGGCAGCCTTCACAGATGTGTCTGAAAAAAACTTCACTGAGTTTTTTAACCTCTACAAAACCACCAAGGTAAAACCCATGACAAGCTTGTCATTAAAGAAGAAATATGTAGAACATGCACTTCTTGCATATGTTTGCATGCATTTCCCATTTACATTAGGAATCCTCTCCCCTGCCTGGTAATCTCCCTGCTGGTGCCCCAGCAAGGTCTGGTTAAAGCAGTGGGTTTGAGGTGACTCAGAAATGAAACCAGGAACCAGGAATCCCAGTCAGTGTAGACATGGGATAGCGGATAGGGGAGTGAGGAGCATGTAAGGGAGTGAAGACTCCATCAGGACTCTCGGCAAGGAGGCTCAGCACAGACACTGGACCAGATCAGAGGGAGGGGGGACAGGGACAGGTATGGCCCAAGTCCTGGCATAGAAGGGACTCAGGCTCTGCTGCCCTCCAGTCTGAGCTGAGGGTGGTTGTTTTACTGGCCCATGGCCCTGAATGGACAAGAGATGTGTCCTGAGGTAGGAGTGACAAGAGGGACATGGTCAGGACCCACCTCAGCAAGGTAGAGGGTGTGGATGTTTTCTGGGCAAAACTGTTCTCCCCGGTGGTTCTAAAAGTTGGGGGAGCACGTGTGGGATGGGATTGACCCCAGGCGATCCCTTCCTGCCCTCATGTGTTCCCCTCAGACCCACAAGGGAGCAAAGAGAGAAACTGATTTCTGGCTGAGGACAAAACAGATAAGGCCCAGCCCTGGGTGGGATCTCTTCATCACATTGTTGGTGGGGACATTCTGGTCGGGTGGCCACTCCTGTGGGCTCACGGGTGAGCTGTTTCTCATGGTTTTGGGTCCACCTCCTGGGGGATCTTCAGTCATCTTTCTCTTCCCCCAGAACAAAATCGAAGATATTCGATCAGATCAGGAAGAAGCGGCGGAGAAGGCAATCCGCACTCACTTCCAGATGGAGCAGATCGTCTACTGCCAGGACTAGGCTTACCGAGGTGCGCTGCAGAAGATCAGAGAGGAGGAGGCCAAGGAGGAGAAGCAGAAAAAAGTATTTCAGTCTTCAGAGACCACTGCTATGGGTGAAATCCTCCAGCACCTGAATGCCTATTGCCAGGTGCGCATGCTTATGTCACAGACCCCAGGGGCTGAGTCCTTTCCTTCTGAGAGCCCTCCATCTGGGGTCATGGGGTGCCAGGTGGAGCTCTGTGTGGCCCCTGGAAGCAGCTCCACCTCAGCTAGACAGAGATGCTGTGGGCTTAGAGGCCCCCACTTCCGGCCTGGACTGGTGCATGGTTCCCGCCCAGTGCCTTCATCTCTCTGAGCCTGGGCTTTTTTCTGAGTCCCCATCCCCAGGGCCAGCACCAGCATCATCCTGTCTGTCTCTAGGGACCTGAGCCTCACAGGCCTGTAAAAACAGGGCTGGTTGATATGTCTGGGCACAGTGTCACTCGAGTCAGAATTCTGTGTGCTGACCCACTCCTTCCTGACAGCTGTGTCCGGGTCCCTACCCAAGGCTTCTGTGTGTCCCGCTACTGTGAGCCACCCTATGCTGGTACCTTGTCTCCTCCCCTCCGTGGCCCTTGGGGGACAGGCCAGTCTAGCTCACTTGCTCCTCTCTTCTCTTACTGACCCTGCTGTAACTGTCCCTGGGTGCTTGTCACCTGCCTGGCTTCTTCCCAAGCCTGTGGCCCTTGCCATGTTCTCTGTGGTTCACTGCTGGACGAGATGGGTGACTATGCTGTCCTTACATCCCAGAGGAGAAAACTGAGTCACAGAGGGGCAGCCGAACTTGATGAGCCACACGTCAGAGCCCTGAGATCAATGTGTGTCTGAAAGGGTTCATGCCGGGGACAGATAGGCAGAAGAAGAGGCGTGGGGACTCAGGCTCCTGCCTGGGGCTGTCACAGCCCAAACCTGGGATTCTTCCCGGGGTGCAGGCATGTGCGATGTCCTTTTGGGCAGAGTGGGCCCCTCACTGTCTCAGAGCCTACCTCACTCTCTTCCTTCCAGCATCCAGATGGTGGTCAGGGAAGCCAGGGACAGAGGCCATCACCAGGGACAGAGGCCACCCAGGTTGGCAGGTCCTTCTCTGTCCATGTGGAGCCCCTTCTGCCTCCAGCACGGAGAATGCTTGAGTGTGAACCCAGACCAAGATCTCCCTCCCTGGATCCCTGGGTCTTCTGATGCTCGCATGTCACCATCAGGGTCCCTTCCTTATGCTTGCCACTCAACACTTCTGTGATCTGTCCCTTCTTCCAGGAGGTTCACAGCCGCATCTCCACCCACATCCCCTTGATCATCCAGTACTATGTCCTGCAGTTGTTTGGCCAGCGGCTGCAGAATGCCATGCTGCAGCTGCTTCAGGAGAAGGAGAACTGCGCCTGGCTCCTGAAGGAGCGGAGCGACACCAGTGAGAAGAGGAAGTTCCTGAAGGAGCGGCTGACCCGGCTGGGCCAGGCCCGGCGCCAGCTCGCCAAGTTCCCTGGTTAACCCAGCTCCCAAGCCTCGGGAGGAGGCCGAGCCAGGGTGATGTAGTCGCTTAGCAGATGCTCAGTAGGCAGAGGTAGAACGAGATCTCTTCTTTTTCTCCAGGAGCATGTAGGGACCAAAAAGAGTTAGGAGAATGGTTTGATTTCTGGCTGTAAGAGGACAGTCTCATGTCAAAGTGTGGGCTGCAGACTGAAGGGAAGGTGCCACCGTCACGAGGGGGTCAAGGGCGTCACTCACCTCCCCCACTCAACTTTTGTGCATCAGGAGACGGCCTCCAGCTCAGTGCCGGGAAAGGCTCCTTCCTGGTCTGTCTGCAGTCTCCTCTGGAGCCGGCTTGTAGGAATGGTCTGCTGCTCTTAGAAGCTGGGCCTCTTCTGTTTGAATAAACATGTAATCCTTGTCTGCTGAGCTTGGTGTTTGGGAGGAGCCCAAGGGAAAGAGCAGAAGGAACAGGTGGTACAAAGTGCTGGGCACCAAGCTGTCCTCAGGTGCACTGAGAAAGGAAGGAGTCAGAGCAGGGTCCTCCTGTCTGCTGGGACTGCAGTGAAGGGGATGTACTCAAAAAGATGCACACAGCACCCGTGTGCAGTGGGCACTGACCCTTCTAGGGCAGAGGAGCCAAGGGAAGACATTGAGTGCTGAGCTTTGCTGAGGCCCCCGGGGGGACAGTGGGCAGCATGTGAACAATTTCCTCCCCAGTGGACTGTCCAGTTCTCAGGCCTCCATGTGGCTGAGATGGGCAACACCAGTTATATGCCTGCATCCCAACCTCCCTCTAGCTCCAGGTCCACCCTGCCCAGGGCCTCCCCACCAGCAGACCTGTCAGAGGGCAAGATGACAGACAGGGTTCCGGAGACCATGCTCAGCAGAGGCCCTGACACTCCTTCTGAGGAAGCCCTGGGGCATCGAACTGAGGAGTCCAGGAGGGATGAGGAAGATGCAGAGATGAGAGCTGAGGACCCAGAGGTGGAAGACGCTGTCTCGGGGGCCACGTGCTGGAGAGTTGCTGTGGGGGTTGAGATCCTGCATACACAGAGCCTCAAAATACAGTAGCCACATGGGCACCACATACTTCCAGCAAGGGATTCAGGCTTGGGGCCACAGTGGACAGTGTCAGGGTGGGATTAAAGTCCTTGTCCCCTCTAGCTCACTTCTGACCCTGAGACTCTGGGATGGTAATCTTCGGACAGTTCCAGGATTTGTTCATGAAGGTGATGAGGGGAGAACATTCCAGCACTGCACAAGTCCCTGGCTGCAGCTGGGCAGTGCCCCATGCCTCTCTGGGAGTGCTCTGTCCCGAAATTCTCTACTTATTTATATGGAACTTCCTTAAACTGCAGTGGGAGGCTGGACTGCCCTTGTCTACAGTGGGCTTACTAACCTGCAGGGCTGTTTTAGAACTGCAAGGCAGACCCTCTCCTGCTGATGGCAGGTTCTACCCTGAAGCAGCCTCCAGCCCTCTTCAGTCCACGTCCCCTCTCCACCCTGGATGACAGCAGCAAAAGAGGGGCGGCTCTCAAGGGACACAGGGTCTTCTCTTGAGCCCCAGATAGCTCCCATGTGGGACAGGGAGAGCTGAGGACAGGGTCTTGCTTTCTTGGATTGAGGCATTAAGTCTTCAGGGACACGTTGCAGTGCACAATCCTGAGCTGGGTCTGCAGGTTCCTATGATGGGGTGGCATTATGGAGATCCTGAACACTGCCTGAAATTGGAGGTCCAGGATAAGGAACCTCTGAGATGCTCATCAGCTTAGAAGAACACACTCGGAGGGCCCTCTTGGGGGACAGTGATGAGGGCCAGGAGGCACGTCTCAGACCCCACACTGAGCTCAGGGATGAGCCCCTGCCTGCAGAAGAGGCTGTGCCTAGAGGTGCTGGAGTCCTCCTCCCATGCAGCTTCTGGCTTCCTGTCTGCAGACCCATCTTGCGGACAGTCAGGCTCCCTCAGAGGTAGTGGCAGCTGGCCCTTAGTGGAGTTCAGAGGGGGATGAGAGGGCAGAAGGTGCAGCCACAGTGCAGGGAGCAGGAAACAGTGCGGTCAGGTCTCCTGACTGTCTATGATGGACTAAACATGTAAGTGATGCAGATGAGTGTGCACTGACCCGAGGGTGGAGAGCAAGAGAAAAACACAATGAGCAGACAGAGGAGGAACTCCTCTTCCATTTCAGTCAGCTGTCAGGTTCCCGGAGGCAGAGGGAGAGGGCAGTGCTCTTAGCAAAAGCAGTCTCAGCAACAGCAGTCCCACAGGCAGCTACTCCCATAAAGACCCTGCTCAGAGGTGCCATGCACTCACTGCCCCGCTAGGGGCCGGGATTTAGGTGTACTGGGAACTGGCAAAGCCCAGGGTTTCTTCTGGATTGTCCTTGGTAACAGTGTCTCATTTCCTGCACCCTTTCTGTCTGTGCCTGTGGCTCAGAGGTCCCCTGGCTGGGCTGGGGAAACACAGGGTGCTGCAGAGGAAGGGCCGTGGCTCACGGCACACAGCGCATGGTGTGGTCACACCTATGCTGTGTCCTGGTGCTGCTGCTCCTGAGATCCCCGCTGTCTCAGTGAGGTTGTGTCCCTGCTATCTCAGTGAGGTGGGATCTTGCCCAGGCCCTCAGATAACTGGAGAATTTTAGCAGTGAACCCTGGCATGGTGGAGGCAGGGTCCTGAGTGTGTGGTCACTTCCGTGGGTTTCCTCCCAGATCTTCCTGCAGATACATGGGTGAAATTCCTGCAGACCCCACTCTGCCAGCTACACTCCAGTCCCCGCGTGTGGAGGACCTACAGTCATCTCAGAGCACCGCCCACGCTTTGCACCTCTCTTGTAGACCCCAATCCCTGCCGAGCATGCGCTTTGCCCTTAGAAGTCTGCCTGTGTACACTGCGCACTGGGAGCGGGCCCAGCTCAGCCTCAGGGCTGCAGGGAGCTCTCCATGCCAGCGCCTTTCCTGTGTCATCACTTGGGCCAGGGAGGGTGCTGCTGTGCCCCTCGTGGGTCAGGAAGCTGACACTCGAGAAGGAGAGGCTCTGTGGGGATGCAGGGGGCTGCCTGCCCAGTGCAGAGCCAGTCCTGGGTCATCTGGGGCAGGGCCCACCTGTCTACCTGTCCCTCTCAGCTCCTCAGTCCCTTCCTCCAGCAGGCGCTGTGATTCATCCCCCTAGGACCAGGGGCTCTGCCAGGGGCTCTGGGTTACAGTTGGTCAGTGCTTCGGGGTGCACAGCACAGTATGAGTACTTAGCTCCACTAGATGTGCACTTAAAATAGAGGGACAGTTCTATTTTATATTACAATAAAATTTTATTAATATTTAATGGAAAAAAAACTAAAGTGAAACCAGAAAAAAACAAAAGGCGATATTTCCAGGTGAGGGAGGGAGAGCTGTGCCACTGGAGTCCTGCATGGTGAGGTGGTCTGGATTGTTCTGCAACCTGATGACCAGCTACACGAGAGGAGGGAGAGGGACGGACTCAGGGTCAGGCTGGGCAGTCTCTGTCCCGCTGTAATCCCACCCCACCCCTGCTCTTGCTTCTTCTTGATGGTTGCTGCTGTGGAAACAGTTGTGGTCCTAGAAGTGGCAAGAGAGGGACAGGACAGAAAATTCCTGCAAGATCGCCCCTCTCTGAGCCTTTCCCAAGCCACAGCAGCCCACTTCCTGCCAGAGAAGCCCGAGGCGCTGAGCCCACAGCAGGACCCCACCCTGACTCTCCATCAGCCCCATGGGTGGTCCCGTCCTGTTTCTTTGCTCCTGGCTCTGGAACCTCTGGTGGGGCCACGTGACCTCTGCTGCAACACCTCACCCCCCACCCCCAGTCACCAACCCCAGCCTCCTACTCACCTCTGGGATGGGATCCCACTTAGAGGACTCTTCTCTGAGTCAGGTTGGGAGTCTGCACACTTGCAGGATGATGTCCGAGTCTGGCAGGTTGATGAGGGCATAGGCCACGAGCTGCTTGAGGCTCAGGTCTGGACACTGGCCAAAGTCTCCTGGGTACTGGAGCAACCAGGTCTCTCAGGGGCAGGCGGGTAGGAGAGTCAGGGGCTCAGCCTCCACCCCCCCCCATGCCCTAGCCTCCCCTGTCATGGAGCCTGAAGGGCACTGTCTAACAGAGCCCGACCTGCCTGCCAGCAGCCAGGCAGAAGTGTGGTGCCCAGGTGTCAGTGGTCTGCACCCCACACCACTTGGGCGGCCTCCATCCAGGATGGTGTGGGCTCTCCTAGCAGGGAATGGACTGCGTGTAGATGCATCCTCATGGGGACCTGCTCTGTGCCCAGCCCACCCCTGTCCCTTGTGCACAGGACCCCAAGCCCAGCTGTCTGACTTTCTCCTCCGGGAGGTCTAGCCTCAGATCCCAGCCCTCTAATGGGAATCAATGAACAGTGAGGGGCCCTGGTTTTTCTCAGCCTGCCTGAAACCCAGTTCATCTGATGTATTCCACTCTGAAGGCAGGAGCCCTCCCTTCCCCTTACACCAAGGCTTCTCACCTCTTGTTCTGCTGGTCCTACTCAAGAGTTGGGACAGAAAAAGTGGTATCTAGAAGAGCCAGGAGGATGTGTACTTTGAGCACCCAAGTGTCCCCACCTGCCAGGATGTCTGGGGGACCATGTGATTGCAGGATGGCACTGCAGGCAGGGAAAGCTATGAGGTTTGTTCACTGTTATCTGAATGACAGGAAAGCATCAGGCAAGGTGCCCGCACACAGTAGGTGCTTTGTAGACATGAGTGTGGTGAGTGAGCCCAGCCAGCTGTGCCCAAATATCTCAGGATGCCACCAGGGTGCTGGATCTCCCTTAGGGGTCCCCATTCTGGATTCTCCTAGGCAGGAATCTAGGAAAAGGAGGCCCTAGATAGACAACTCCTTCAAGGGGTGGGCTGTGGAAGGCAGACAGCTCTGGGACCCCACCCTCAGCCCAGAGTCAGACCTAGGCCAGGTGCTCTGGGGCTGCAGCCTACTTGGTCATGAATACACCATGTGAGGGGGAGTCCTCTGAGTACCTCATTTTCTTCAGGGTGTGAAATGGTGCAGGGCATCCCCAAGAGCCTCTGAGGAGTCCGTGGGTCCGTGACTTGGAGATAGGGCAACCTGAGGAAGAGGAGATCCAGCACCTGCTGTGGAGTGGCAAACCTCCTGTAGGTGGCCAAGAAGGCAGGCACAAAGGAGGAGTCTCCATGGAGATGGGTGGGCACCAGGTGGTTTACCAGCTTCTTCAGGGTGCCTGGATCCAGGCTCTTCATCCTGCCAGCCTCCTCCAGCTTTGGACTGGATTCCTTTTGGCCCTGAGGTGGCAGCGAGAAGGGAAGATTGAATCCTGGGAATGGGAGCCAGCTGCTCAGCTGCCAAGGGAGTCCCTGGGCTTCTACATAGCCACACATGCACACTCCCCAACACACCACCAGGCAGGCAGGGGACTGGGCCCTCCAGGCTGACTCTGACCTGTTCTAGGCTGTCCTGTGTCACCTTGGGGATTCTGGGGGCAATGTGCCTAAGGAGCTGGGGCTGATGGCTGCCCAAGCCTTTCTGCCCTCAAACAAGGTCCTTCCTCCACCAGCTCTTATGACTGGATCCTAGGCCACTTGGGAAACAGCAGGATAGCGTCCTCTTGGCTTTTGAGTCTCTGCACAAGGATCCAACCAGCCTTGGGGATTCTAAATTCTGTTTGGCGTGTTGTCAAGGAAGTGAAGTCATTCCAGGGGTCCTCCTCCCCTAGCTGCTTCTGCCATGTCCCCTCCAACTGCTAATGTCCCATGCCCCCCCCCCCCAACTGCTAGATGTCCCTTCCCAACCTGCTATTTGCAAAACTGGAAATACTCAAACCAACATGCTCTGTACTATTAACCTTGTGCAGACCCCAGGGCAGCCAGCTTCCCATGGGCAGAGACAGCTGGTTAAGAGCCTGGCCCTCCTTCTTTGTATTAAAGTTGAGGGGCTCAGGCCATAGATTAGAAGTTGCTGTGGGTGAAGCACAGGGTGAAGGATTCAACTGAGAGGCAGTGTGGTGTCTAGGGCTCTGGTTAGGTTTAGGGTGAACATCAGGACATGTCCTTGAAGTAGGGCTGAGTGGTTATTGGAACAAGTTGGCTTAGGAAACTGGGCCTGGTTAGGTTAACATTTTTTATGTTAATTTCAAGGTTAGGGTCCTATTTCTTTCTTTCTTTCTTTCTTTCTTTCTTTTTTTTTTTTTTTTTTGTCTTTTTCCTTTTTATTGGTACTGGGGATCAAACTCACGACTGCCTGCTTGCAAAGCAGGCACTTATGCCGCTGAGCTAAACCTCCAGCCCCTAGGGTCCTATTTCATGAGTGGGTCTTTAGGGGTAGGTGTACTGGGATTTTGTTCACTGCTAATTTTAATGCTAGTGTTTTGGTTAGTAGCCATATTGTATACTATTTTCATCCCTAAGCACATTGTGAAGAAAATTTTACTACAGTGTGAAGAAAGGTAATGCTAGGATAAGGGACAGTGTTAGTGAAGCTGAGGATGTAGGTGGCAAGGTTATTTTGAGGAGTGAGGTGAGTTTTGGGGATAGAGTAAGAGTGAGCGTTGGGTTTAGAGTTAGTTCAAGGGTTAGAATTATGGTTAAGATTAGGGTTAGTGTTAGGCTTTAACAGCGTCATCATAGTGTTCGTGTTTCAGGTTTAGGGTTACCATTGTTGTTAGTGGTTAGGGTTAAGGTTAGGTTAGAGCTAAATCTAACAAACTGGTTTTGTATATTTACTTGTGAGTCTGTGCAAGGTCCAAACCCTCTGTCTGGAGATGGGCAGCAGACCCAAAGTAAGTGAAACTCTATGGGTTACTGGTCCTGGCTGAGGTCTGTAGTGGCTTGTGATGCTGTGATGCCTTAAAGGACAGGATAAAGTCACAGTTTAGGATGCCTTTACTCCCACATTAATTAACTAAATAAAGACTGGAGCTGCAGGCATTTCACTCCTGCAGTGAAAGACAACTTAGTAAAATACTTCTCCTAATTAACATAAGATAGTTCTAAATTAAATTAACACTGTTGCTTGGAGAAATCCTTGGACCATTCTCAAAATTCTACTCAGTTTCCCATGATGTGCACTCTAATCCCTTCCCTTGTTTGACAACCAATAAGTTCTTTGACAACCAGAGAAGTTCTTTGTCTCAGCCCCCAGAGAATCTCAAATTCTGCTGGAGGGTTTTCATCTTCCTGGAGCCCCAAAACCATACTACTTTGTCTCTTATTTAAGCCTTCACTTCCACTCATCTGGGAGGTTTTGGGTGTGATCAGTCCATGATAGGGAAGGAGTCCCTCTTTTGTTTTTATAATTGAATTTTGAGTGTACAGTGAACGTGTTCAATAATTCCTTGACCTTGAGGGTTATAAGGAATTCCCATGGTAAGGGAAATATGAAAAGTTTTACAAAATGTTTGAAAGGCATCGCTCTTATAGACTGGGACACTGTCAGTCTTAAGTGCAGAAGAAAAACCCGGGTCCTGTATTTAGGAGCCTGAGGCTCCCACTTGTGCTCCCACAGCTGGCTGTGTCCCCCACCTGACTATTGGGGCAGCCACAACCTCCCCCCACCCCACTTGTGACTTGATTTTAAAATAGTTCTCTGAGCCAAATCTTCTGCAGTCAAGTCAACAAGGATGTGACCATTAAGATACCTCCTAGTTCAAGTCCCCAAAAAAAGTAAGTACAGAAATCCATAACAGAACAAGTATTTATGTAGACATTTGTTGTTCTTGAGAGCTTACTCATATTTAATACCTGATAAAAGCAATACACCTCTCTCCCGCTTGTTTCTCCTGAACCTGTTTCGCTCTTTTAGCTCTAATGAGCATGTTTTTCTCTTTGACCCTAGTGAGCTCATTTCTCTGTATGGCCCTAGTGAGCCCATTTCCAAATAGGCTTCTCTAGCCTATTTCTCTGACTTTTCTGGAATCTATTTCTCCCATGGATTCTCTACAAAAAGAAAGTAAATACAAGAATCATACAATAAGCATTTCTATATATCTCTCTATATATCATTTCTATATACATGTTCTTTGTCTCATATTTTAGGCCTGATGATATCAATATCAGTACACCTCTGTGATCAATACTGATGCTATCATTGCACTTCTCTCCCTTTTGTGGGCACAATGAGAAGTGTCCCTTCACCTATTTCTTCTTACCCCAGTTATGTGTTTAGGTGCCAATATTGCTGCATCCCAAGTAGCTCTTAAAGTCCCCAGGGGGAAGGATGTTGAGAGGATGGAGAAATAAAGATGAGCCAATATACAGATAACTGAAGTCAGGTGGAGCCCTCTTTCCAGATGGGAGGAAAGAAACTGCTCAACCTCTGCAGTGCATTTATTTATACATTTGTCATGTGATGCCCCCTTGCTTACCTTTCATGCCCTGTGTTCTCACCTGTTTGCCTGGTGCTTTGTGCCCTCAGGGCATTTCTCAGGTACTTTGCCCTCTCAGCTCTGTGCATGTGAGGGATCGCCAGCTCAGCTGCTCTCAAAGCGCTAAAACGTAGCTAAAATAACTGACAAGCCATACAGCTGTGCTACCTACTCCGTTGTGTTCCTGACATGCTGTCCTCCATGCTCATTGGAACACTGGTGTCTGTGGGGCCCCAGGCAATGCCACAGTCTGGGGACACAGGTGGTAATCTGAGTCTCCCACATCCTCCCTGCCTCTGGTCACAGATATAGCCTGTGTTTGCCCACTCGCTCTGTGTTTTGCCCAGCTTAGAGGAAGTTTTGTGACTTTCCCCCCAGGGAGACACCCGTTCCCTGTTTCCCTGCACTGCTCTCCTGCACATGATGCCTTTGGCAGAAACAGGTGACCCAAGTGATTCCTCTCCAAGCCTCCTCTCTGCAGGTGGCTGCCTCCAAGATGGGATGCAGTTGTTGTTCATCATGTATTCTGATCTCTTGGAATAGCTTGATCATGCTTGGGTGGTCCTGTGTCTAGGTCACAAAAGCACATTGGCAGAAATCATGTATTTTATCCTATCTCTGTATGTCTTTGCTGTGATCCACACAAACCAGTGACAGCTCTCTGATGCCCGGTGTGTGGCCTCTCAAGCCCTGCTTCAGGGGTCACCCAGAATCCGTAGTGCACTGAGTATTTACAGTATTGGACACCGTGGCCGAGTGAGTGACCATAGTGGAGTCATTAGCCCTATAGTCTTTTTCCTAGTTCCTACTTTCTCTTCCCCAACTCCCCTGTGGATTCCCCGGGACTACAGAGAGTCTAGCAAAGAATCCAGAATAACTAGTAATTGGCAACTCTGTTGGTTGCCCTGATTGGTTGTTGACTTTATTGTATTTGGCTGTTGACTTGGAATGTTTTGATTCTTTTCCCTAGAAAAACAAAAATAAAAACAAAACCTCTCCTTGTTCTTCTAATGCTTCCTTTAAATTTCCTGAGATGTTGGAAATAATTGAATATAGGGGCCTGATTGATGCCATAACTGCCTTTCGAGGTTAGGAGAGTCCCATAAGGTTTTGAACCAAGCAGGAACTGGATTTTGGAGCCTCATTTGTCCTGACTGGTTGTTTGTTTGGCAATACTTAGGTTTTTCCCCCCTAAAAACCCAGCTTGGGACTCTTCCTTTGGGTGGTGTGGCCCAAGCCCCTGCACTTCCTTGTGATTCTTTCTCCCTTCTCTTTCCCTGGGCCAGTGGTGGGTGTAAAAGATATGCAGCTGTTACTAGTTTTTCTTTCCTCTTCTCCCATTCTGCATCTCCTTGGCTTAGCTTTGGGAAGTTAACTAACAAGGAAAGAAATACAATAGCAGGCAAGCCAGGGTGTTAGAACAAATCTGATAGGAGTCACATAAGCACATTTAAAATGGCTAATTCTACTTCATCTTCTTAGAGAAAATCCTGCCAGTCTTTGAAAGTGTATGCAGATTTAATGTCATTGTTTTATGTTTTTTTTCCTGTTAGTCTGGCAGTTAATAAGCATTTGTGATGACTGACTTAGTAAAGGCCACAACAATCTGATGGCCAGCAACAACAGCTCCATTGAACAATTGAGTGAAAACTCTCAAAGGAAAACTGGGCCAGGGTTGCCAGAAGTGATTTAAGCCTGGATACTTAAAGCTGCTCCATTTACAAAAGGATTTTTGAGTTCACGATGTTTCTTTTTCTTTTTCTTTTTTGTATGTGTGTAAAATTTTTAGATTGAAATTTTAGTTTTTGGTACCAGGGTTTGAACGTACAACTTCACGTTTGCCAAGCAAATACTTTTACACCACTGAGCTAAACCCCCGGCTCTAGATTACAATTTTAAAGTTAAAGATGGGTGCTTTAGGCTTTTTGGTTTGTTTCATCTGCTGTTTTTACCGAAGCAGGTGGTTTGGGCTAAATATAAAGGGGGAAGGGTTTTACCCTGCAGGACCCTTAAACCCAGTGAAAGCTAGGAGAAATCTCCACTATGCGTGAAAAAGCAGCCGCCTGATTACTTTGTTTTAATTTTCTCTAGGCCTGGTGAATCCTTCAGTTTTCTCCAGAACCCTATCGTCTCCCACCATACTTCCTTTTATCCCCCATTACTTTTTATTTTGGGCAAAAACACAGTTGTTAAAAGATGAGTGGACTCAATCAAGTAAACTTTATGAGATGCATTCCAGAAGCTTCAGTCTCTGCTTGGGGGACACTGCATTAAAACACA